TGGTCCTCAATACCTTTTAGAGCAACGGCTATCAGCTCGCAGATGGTAAGAGGCAGCAATCGGAGCTCGCCGACTCTCCAGCCATCGGCCGCCACAGCACGTGCAATTCCCATCTTTCTGAATTGCTTGAGCAGCCTGGAGCCTGTGATGTCAGAGATGGTGCACTGGCAAGAAGGGATGTAGCGTCCAAAGCGTGCAAAGAACTTATCCCAGTCACAGAGATCAGGTTTGTTGAATATCGTGCTCCAGTAACGGTTGATGTGGTCCAGGATGTCAGTGCGCTTGGTGACTATCTCGTTGGATTGATAACCTCGTACCGCATGGAGTGAATGATATTGGCGTTGTTTGATCCAAGAATACATGTCACGACCACCCTCGTAGCGAAGTGATGTTCGTAGACGTTTGCGCCATTCAGCTATACGTGTAAGCTTTCTCTCTTTCACAATGACTGCATGCTTCTCATCTAATAAGGACTGCCAAGATGCAATCTCGGCCAATGTCGGGAGCTTACCTGGTAGATTATCCAGTCCTGAAAGAAGACGCGGTATGTTTGCACGCAGTTTGCCCCACAGGCGCTGCGCACTAAGTTGATGTTCTAGTGAAGGTCCCTCTGTGCCCTGGAAGTAGATGTGAATCTTCTTTGAGAGCTCAGTGAGACGGTGGAGTACATTCTCGATCTGCCGCAACTTGGAAGTCGTGGGACCTTCTCGGGCAGGGTCTTTTGCCGACGTCGGAGCAACCACAGATTGCTCAACAAGCGCTGGCATCTTGCTTCGCCCATGGTACCGAAAATCGAACTTGATGTTTGTATGCGCAAGTCGTTTCTCCAGAAAAGCTTCGCCCATCTGCCCGATGAGAGACCACACTGTATTTGCATCTTCTTTGTCCAGTGCCTCGTAGAACCGGTCATGATATTCATCCACACATTCTTTGCCCAACGCTTCGTTGTCCTCCTCAGAGATCTTCTTGACTAGCTCAACGGGGTAGGCCACAGGCATACGATACCTTTGCCAGACCTCTGAGAGCTTGGTGATATTCAGCGTGAGCTCCAGACCTAGGTGGCACTTGATCCCCAGGTCCCGTCGCAAGCGAAAAGAGTGGATGGAATCTCGAGCTGACGTACTGACCAAAATAAGATCAGGCCGTGTAACGTGATTGCCTGCCGAATACTTATCCCACCGCGGGTCCAGGCCGTAAGTAGGTTCCGCTCCATACATAGCTCCAACATCGTGCCATCGCCCTGTCGCCAGGGCGGCGGACAGCGTGGATGTTTGTGCAATTGTCGTATTCGAGTCTACGCACATGACCACAGGCTGGTCGCCCAGGGCCTCGGCGTCCTCGAAGGCAAACTGAAAGTTTCGATCATTGCGTGTACGAATCAACGGGTCGTTGCCCGACTCATTATACATAGAAATGATGTGAACAGGAGTAGCCCCCAGCATCACAAGTTGCCGTTGCCAGCGGGCGCTGAGATACAACTCCTTGGCTGCACCATGCTTGCGTCCGCTTTCCATTGCAGTAAAAGTAGTTCTTGACAGAATAGCAACCCCACCCTGGGAGCTGCGATGGAACTTTTCGCCATGACATCGTTGTTGACGAACAGGATGTCCAAAACCAGCATTGTATCCATATGCAGCACAGGCTTTAGTGCAAGCCATCTGCTCCTTCAAATTTAGGCGTGTCTCCTGCAGCGCAAGGACATCTGCATTCATGAGAGCAAGGCGGCCAGAAAAGGTATTCCAGCTGGTAATATTTGCAGAAAGGATAGTGGCAAGACCTGCAGGACCACAGGAAGGTGCTGCAGGTGCTTGTTTCCCTCGCAGGCGGCGCGAGGGCATCATCAGTGATCCATATCAGTTGCAGCACTGTCTTTGAGCCTTTTGCTCAGACGTTCAATCTCTTCATCCTGTTCCTTTTCAGCACTGGATAAGCCTCCATCTGAGCGAAGAACTTCGAAGCACTTTGCGAGACCCTGCCCCTGAAGCTGTAATTGGGCAAAGATCTTCTGATTATTTGCAGTCACCGCCTGTCCAATTGCTTCCAGCAGAAACTTCTGAAATTCAGGGGACATCGCGGAGCCTGGCGTAGATGGTGGTGTGACTGAGGGCGGTGGAGTTTGCTGCGCTGGCTGACCTTGCTGCGGAGCAGGAGCTGGTCGAGTGAGTTGTGCAGCCAAACTTGTCTTCTTAGTAGCCGGTGCCGTCTTGGGCTCAGGTTTGTCATACTTCGTGATCATCTCAGCCCAGGATGTTGCCGATGGGGCTGGTGTGGCACTCTTCTGCTTGACCATGTTGATTGTCGCTTTGACTCCTGCCAGGGTGATGTCCGAGACCGACGGGGGGCCTTCAGCTCGACAACGTACGACTGGTGTGGCTTTGGCACCTCTTCCCCTGGAGCGTATATGAACAAACTCTGCCTTCCACCCAAGTTGAGTGGATATCTCTTGCACGATCTGCTTTCCCTCAACGAGCTTCGGTAATGGAGAAATCTCATAGAGGGTCGGTGCTGGTGGGGTTCTCGATTGCAACTTCTGCCAGGCAGGGCCTGACTTAGACTTCTCAACTCTGAAGAACAGCGCACCATTTTGCTTGTAGCCTAGCCCGCGGCCGCCCTCTAGGTCCGTGACCATGTTGAGCGCGTCCGTCAGGGAGATGGCCTTGGGGAATGGGACAAAGTCTTCTATATTCTTCTCTTCATCCAGGGCCGTATTGGTAATACCTCCTGCTCGAGAACGCTGGAAGATAACTCCATCTGGCCCTGACGCAGCTCGTAATTGCACAGCTCGTGTGGACGATACTTTGAACAAACCTGATACCACACGATGTCCAGGATGATCTTCATTGAAGACTCTGCCACTCCAGCAGCGCAGATCCATGTCTGCACCTCCGTTGCATTTAGCCTTCACAATACTTGCCAATTCTGCGTCCAGCACTCTCCACGGTGGGATTGTGTCGAGCTTTCTTTTCTGTCCAGTTGTCTCTGCCCGCTGATCGCGGGCTGCTGCTGCTTGACGGTGTAACTTCAAGAGTTCTTTGAAAATCTTCTCGGGAGCATGCTCTTCGAGGATCGCCACGTTCATGAGCTCATCCTGTGTACATTTTATTGCCGTCGGCACTCTGGTCGGTTCCACTTTCTGCTGAGTCGATCCTCCATATTGCCAGACATACAACTGCTTGATATAGCGTCTCTCTTCATAAATGAGTGGCACATCTAATAGAGTAATGCAGGGAGCCAGACCCCTCTGGCCACACAGCATGAATAATTCTTTTGAGACCTGACTGGGCGATTGTGCCAAGACGAATCCAAATGCCTCCACAGGATCTGGTCTTTGCCAAAATGAGTCCAAACGCGCGAGCTCGAGGAACTCTGCCGTTGTGACTAGATGTACAGCCTTCATACTTTCGTAATCTTGCGGAAGGCCACGCTTCACGGGTATGTCCCAGTCAGCAGGATCAAGGCGTGCATGATGCTGCCAGCCTGTCTTCGGCTTCGGGGGCGTGACCTTCGGCTTCTTGGGCGGCTGCGGCTTGGCTGGAGGGGTCGCACCATAAGGCTTTTCTTCCAACCATACTCTCATAGCTTCTGCGATCTCCTTGGCGGGCATGGCAGCAATCTTGGCCATACGCTCTGAGGAGAACTTTTTCAAGTGATCGTACATCTTCTGTGGTTTGTCCGTACCTGCTGCTTCCAACATGGTGAGGACACGACTCTTGTTCATTTGTGGCGTGTGCTTTGCCTTCAATGCTCTGGCTAGTGCTTGCTTCATCGATGGTCCGTTGCCATGCAAAGCGTGCATCTCTTTGTTGTGGTCTCGGTGACGCCGAGCCCATTCATAAGGAAAGAACTCTGTTATGCATACCCACGTATGATACACATCTAGATACAACCCACCATACAATAACCACTTATTGTCGGTATATTCCCATGACATACAGATGCTGAGCCCCTGCATCTGCGTGAAACTGGATCCAAAATTGTTGTTCTTCGCGTCCGTGTCATTGGACGTCACCACAACCGAGAACTGTATGTGCACCCAGTTCAGAAGGTTGAACAGTGTCACCTGCTCGTGGGACACCTTGTGGCCCTACTCCACCTTCTCCTGCTCCTGCAACCTCTCATCCTCCTCCTCCACCTCCTCCTCCTCCTCCTCCTCCTCCTCCTCCTCGTCCACGTCCTCGTCCTCGTCCTCCTGCTGCTGCTCCTGCTCCTGCTTGACATCCTCCTTGTCCTCCTCCTCCTCCTCCTCCACCTCCTCCTCCTCCTCCTGCTCCCCCCACCTTCTCCTCCTCTTCTTCCTCCTCCTCGTCTTCCTCCTCTTCCTCCTCCTGATCCTCCTCCTCCTCCCTCTCCTCTGCTCCTCCCCCTCCTTCTCCTCCTCCTCCTCCTCCTCCTTTTCTGCTCCTTCTCCTCCTTCTCCTCCTCCTTCTCCTCCTTTTCCTTGTCCTTTTTCTCCTCCTCCCTCCTCCTCCTCCTCCTCCTCCTCTCCTCCTACGTTCTCCTACTCCTACTCCTACTCCCACTCTACCCTACTCCTAATCCTACTCCTACTACTGCTCCTACTCCTACTCTTACTCCCCTCCTCCCTCCTCCTCTCCTCCCTCTTCCCCTCCTCCTCCTCCTCCTCCTCCTCCTCCTCCTCCTCCTCCTCCTCCTCTCCTCCTCCCTCTCCTTCCTAACCCCTCTCCTCTCTCTCCTCCTCCTCCTCCTCCTGCTCCTGCTCTACTCCTGCTCCTCCTCCTCCTCGTCCTCCTCATCCTCCTCCTCCTCCTCCTCCTCCTCCCTCTCCTCCTCCTCCTCCTCTTCCTCCTCCTTCTCCTCCTTCTCCTCCTCCTTCTCCTCCTCGTCCTCCTTCCTCCTCCTCCTCCGCCTCCTCGTCGTCGTCGTCCTCCTCCTCCTCCTCCTCCTCCTCGTCCTCGTCCTCCTCATCCTCGCTCTCCTCCCTCTTCTCCTCGCCTATCCAGAGGACATCGTCTGCCGCAACTTGGCGCAGCCCAGGCGGCCGGTAGGTGGTGCCCGGTTGCAGCGCCGCCGGCACGGTGAGGTCGATGAGGTCGGAGGGCGGAAAGTCTCTCCAACCGGAGACCCTGGCGGATGTGAGCGTCGTCCTCCTACTCCTCCTTCTCCTGCTCCTGCTCCTGCAACCTCTCCTCCTCTTCTTCATCCCAACGCCGTCTTCTCCTCCTCCTCCTCACCCTCCTCCCTCCTCCTCCTCTCGTCCTCTTCCACCACCTCTCCTCCTCCTGCCCTCCTCCTCCTCCTTCTCCTCGTCCTCCTCCTCCTCCTCACCCTCCCCTCCTCTCCTCCTCCTCCTCCTCCCCTCCCCTCCTCCTCCTCCTCCTCCTCCTCCTCTCCTCCTCCTCCCCCTCTCTCCCCCCCCCTTCCTCCCCTCCTCCTCCTCCTCCTCCTTCCCCTCCTTCTCCTCCTCCTCATCCTCCTCCTCCTGTCCTCCCCGACCCTCACTGCTACCTCCTCCCTAATTCCCCCCCTTCAATCATCCCTACACCTTCTCCTCCTCCTCCTCCTCCTCCTCCTACTTCCTCCCTCTCCTCCTCCTCATCATCACAACCACCATAACAGTCCTTCCTCTTACTCCTCCTCATCATCATTATCATCATCATCAGCAGCATCAGCATCAGCATCTGCATCAGCATCAGTATCAGCATCAGCATCAGCATCAGCATCATCATCAGCATCATCATCATCATCATCATCATCATCATCATCATCATCAACATCATCACCACCACCACCACAACCATCATCGTCCTCTTCCTTCTCCTCCTCCACAGCAACATCTTCACAATCCGTAGCATCATCATCTCCACTATCATCATCATCAGCAGCATCATCATCATCATCAACATCATCATCATGAGCAGCAACAGCATCATAATCGCCATCGGCAGCGGCAGTACCATCCACACCATTACACATCATCATCGTCATCGTCGTCATCATCATCAGCCACAACAATAGCAGCAGCGGCAGAAACATCATCAGCAACAACATCAGCACCGTCATTATCCTCATCATCATCAGAATCCTCCTCATCACCAGCGTCATCATCATCATCATCATCATCATCATCATCATCATCAGCATCATCAGCATCAGCATCGCCATCAGCATCATCATCGTCATCATCATCCTCATCTTCATCATCATCATCATCATTATCATCAACAGCAGCAGCAGAGGCAATTTCATAATTGCATCTCCTCCTCCTCCTCACCCGCACCACAACCATCATCACCAGTATCAGCATCATCATCATCATCATCAGCGTCATCATCATCGTCATCATCATCGTCGTCGTCGCCATAATCATCATCATCACCACCATCATCATCATCATCATCATCATCATCATCATCATCATCATCATAATCATCATGATCGTCATGATCATCATCATCAGCAACATCATCATCAGCATCATCGTCATCATCATCGCAATTACCATCCTCACCCGCATCCTAATCCCCATCATCATCCTCATCCTCACCCTTATCCTCATCCTCCTTCTCATCACCATCAGCATCATCATGTATCACCATCCTCCTCCTCATCATCATCAGCATCATCAACATCGATAGCATCATCATGAGCAGCATCATCATCACCATCATCACCATCATCATCATCATCATCATCATCATCATCATCATCATAAGCATCATCATCGTAATCATGATCATCATCATTCTCATCCTCATCATCCTACTCCTCCTCATCATCCTCCGTATCGTCATAATCATCATCATCGTGATCACCATCAGCAGCAGCATCATCAGCATCATCACCATCATCAGTATCAGCACCATCATCACCATCACAACCATCATCATCACACCCTCATCATCCTCGTCGTCGTCGTCGCCCGCATCGCCATCACCATTACAATCATCATCACCACCATCATCATGATCAACCACACCATCACCATCACCATCACCACAACCATCACCATCACCGCCACCATCATCATCAGCATCCGCATCATCATCATTGGCATTATCATCATCATCCTCATCGTCATCATCATTATCGTCATCATCATGAGCATCGCCATCATCATCATCAACAGCACCCTCACCTTCCCCATCATTATCATCATCATCATCATCATCATCATCATCATCATCATCATCATCATCATCATCATCATCATCATCATCGTCATCAGCATCGTCATCAACATCGTCATCATGATATCATCACCACCATCATCACCATCATCAGCATCATCATCGTCGTCCCTGCTCCATGCTCCCTGCTCCAATTCTCCTCCTCCTTCTTCGTCCTCCTCTGCCTGTCCTCTCCTCTCTTCTGTCCGTGCGCGGTGAGGGGTGGGGGGTGGGGGGTGGGAAAAGTGAGTGACGGAGGGAGGAGCGGGGAGGAGTAGCGGTTTGGGAGGAGTGGGAAGGAAGAGGAGGAGGCGGAGGAGGAGAAGGAGAGGGATGAGGCGGAAGAGGCCACGTGTCCTCCCACCCCCCCACACAAACGTCTGGCGTCGTCTTTTTGTTCCCCAGGTCCAGCTGTTAATCCCGAGATAGTCCCTGGATGCGGCCACCCACACACCGAAAACTGCAGCAAGGCACACCTTACACCGTTGTGCACTTTCACGACGAGAACCGGTCTGGCCATCTGGTCATTACTCGGGTCTGCGGCTGCTGTCTGGGACGCTCTGGGCCCCACCCAGGAACGCCCTCGGCGATGCGCAGCTGCTGGCAAGCCTCTGGAGGCCAGAAAACCTCCAGGAACCGACGAACTCGCCCGCAAGCCTCCAGCATCGATCGAACCTCCTGCCCGGAAACCTTCGGGGGCTTCCAAGAGGTGGGCGTCCACGAGGGGCGTTTAGCAGATCAATGGGACGTGCTGGAAGAAGATGAGAGGGCCATGAAACCCAGGGCGAGGTCATGGCCCCGGCCATAAGGATCCCCCCCCTTTCATGGCCCCCACTGCCGCCTGACGCTCGCGGACCCGAGGCCGCGACGAAAACCTCCAGGAGACTGGCGAACGCCGAGGCAGGAGGAGGAGGAGGAGGAGGAGGAGGAGGAGGAGGAGGAGGAGGAGGAGGCTGGCGATAACCTCTGGAACACTGACGAGAACGCCTCACCTGCGGCACGCGCGACCGCGGGCCGGCGGGGCTGAGGCCACCGCCCTCGCAGCTAAGCAGGGACCGACCGTCCCGGCATTCCTATAGGCTTGCCACGATTTCCCTTGGACCCCAAAAATGTTCGAAGAACAGAAGCAATGTTCTTAGAACGTGTGTAAGCCCGACGTGTTAATGCAAGACAATCTCTCCGCCAGGAGTGTTCCAAGAACCTTTCGTGAAGACCACACACGGTTCTTGGAACACTTTTTGGTGGGCCTATAGGCAAGCCAAGACGCTTCGCCACTGCTCGACGCAGGGCGCCGCAGGGCGTCGCAGCGCGTTGCTCCCAGGACCCCCAGAGCTCCGGACCCATTCCCCAGAGGTCCGGACCCAGTCTTCTGGTTCTTCGTCCTGAACCGTTTTCTCACGGCCCCGAGGTCCGGTAAAGGGCCCCCAGAGACTAAAAACGGTGAAACACCTCCGCCCTGTTTTTTTAGGGCAGCGACGCGCCCGTGAGTCGTTTTTTGACGGCCCCGAGATCCGGTGAGGGACCCAGAGGCTGAAAATAGCGAGAAAAACCTCCCGTCGTGATTTTTTCACGCCTCGAGGGGGTCTGGGACCGCTCCCGCAAGGCGCCGCAGCGCGGCGCTCCCCGCGGCCGGCCCGCCGCCGCCGAGGGAGGAGGAGGAGGAGGAGGAGGAGGAGGAGGAGGAGGAGGAGGAGGAGGAGGAGGAGGAGGAGGAGGAGGAGGAGGAGGAGGAGGAGGAGGAGGAGGAGGAGGAGGAGGAGGAGGAGGAGGAGGAGGAGCAGGAAGGAGAGGAGGGGAGCTCTTACTGGGTGTAGCCCACAGGTGCAGTGCCAGCGCGGGACATCAGCGGCAGCTGGGGGCTTCGCAGAGCGAAAACAATACCCGCGGGCACCGCCGCCACGCAGCGTGCTCCAAGCAAGCGGTGCCTCTCGGTCAGAACGGCCACTCGGCATGCAGGACGACCGGGAAGGATATGACGTCCAGGGCGAAGACTCCAAACGGAGTCGGCCCCGAACCGAGAGGCAACTTCGCCCCAGTTCGTGGGTGGTTTCCGCTCCAGAGGTGGTCCAAGCGGGCACGGGTCGACGAGCCGCGCTCGCAGTGCCCCCTGCAATCCACCGCTAGGAGCTGGGTATTATCGCGCGAGTGTGCTCCACGCGAGCTGCAGAAGATGAGCGGGCCAACGCACCAAAGGCGGTGGCCTACGGCAGGCCGGCACGGTGCCTGCCTGAGCGTCTTGGCCACCTTGGCCACGCGCAGGCACCTTACGCATCGCAGCTTGCCCGCAAACTGGACTATGTCGTGCTCTCCCGCGGGGGCCTCCTCATCAGCCGTGAGCCTCGGGGGCGGCCGACGTCGTCCACGGGTCTCGACATCCCGAGCCGACACTGTATTGGCAGGAGGGCCGACAGCTCGCAGGGTTCTACACATGTACTTGCACACGTACGTAAACAAACTGGCCGACTTCAACACTCGATCGTTCACCTGCAGTTCCTGGGGATGCCTGGACGCTCCGAGCCTAGCGAACTGATCGGACAACTTGTTACCGAGTCGCCAGTACCTGGCGTCTGCTGACAGACGGTCGTCGCGCACAAGCGCGTGACCCTTGACTTTGATCACTTCAACCTCCCCCCAAAGGTCGTCCACGCGTACCCGCGCCCGTCCCCGGTCGGCGCACATGCACATGCTGCCCGTCGTGGCCTCGCGGCCCTTCTTAAAGCTCGAGACCACTAGGTAGCGAAAGGGCCCGAGCTAGACGTGGAGGGGGTACATTAGGAGCCCAAACAGCTCGGCCACCTCAGAATCCTGAAGGAGTCCAGGGAGGGGCCCACACAGCGCGGCCGTGACACCTAAGCCGCCCCCCGAAGTTTGGACCACGGACTACCCAGCTCTCGTCAGACGGGGCTCGCACGCAAGAGTGGACCTGCATGACCCGTCGCCGAAAGCCTCGCCCTCCA